TTTTCAGGATTTTGGCATTTTCTTAAAATGGCTGTAACTTAAAAAATTAAAGTCGGAATCAGCTCAAACTTGCTACACAGCATAAGGGCATCAATGTGTATCAGAAAATGTAATAAAATTGAGAGTGATTTTGGAGTCAACTTTTGGAAAAAACCATGGGCTATTATTATAGCCTTGGGTATTTTTTAACATTTTGAAATTTTCTTAAAATGGCCTTAACTTGAAAAAATGAAGTCGGAATCAGCTCAAACTTGCTACACAGCATTAGGGCATCAATATATATTAGAAAATGTAATAAAAATTTGGCGTGATTTTGGAGTCAATTTTTGGAAAAAACCATGGGCTATATAGTCTTGGGTATTTTTCAGGATTTTGGCATTTTCTTAAAATGGCCGTAACTTGAAAAATTAATGTCAGAATCAGCTCAAACTTGCTGCATAGCATAAGGACATCAATATGTATCAGAAAATTTAATAAAAATTTGATGTGATTTTGGAGCTATTTTTTGGAAAAAAACATGGGCTATAATAGTACAGTGTATTGTTCAGAATTTTGATGTTTTCTTAAAATGGCCGCAACTTGAAAAATTGAAGTCTGAATCTGCTCAAACTTGCTATACAGCATAAGGGTATCAATGTGTATCAGAAAATGTAATGAAAATTTGGAGTGATTTTGGAGCCATTTTTCAGAAAAAAACCATGGGCTATATTTTTCAGAATTTTAGCATTTTCTTAAATTGGCCGTAACTTGAAAAAAATGAAGTCGGGATCAGCTCAAACTTGCTACACAGCATAAGGACATCAGAAAATGTAATAAAAATTTGGAGTGATTTTGGAGCCATTTTTGGAAAAACCATGGGCTATAGCCTTGGGTATTATTTTGGCATTTTCTTAAAATTACCGTAACTCAAATAATTGAAGTCGGAATCAGCTCAAACTTGCTACACAGCATAAGGACATCTAAGTATTAGAAAATTTAATAAAAATTTGGAGTGATTTTGGAGCCATTTTTTAGAAAAAACTATGGGCTATAGCCTTGGGTATTCAAAATTAGACAAATTTTAAAATGGCTGTAACTCAAAACGTCTACACGTAAGTCGAAATTAATAACATTTTACATAATTATTTATTTATTTATTTTATTTATTTATTTAGTAAATAATTAATAAAAAATCAGTAAGACATACTGTTGACCTGAGGGCACTAACAAAGACCCCACCCCCTACTGCCAGCACTGCAGAAAAGACCGAAGCCATAGAAGAGAACATGTTACTAGTAGTTGAATCAGCTCGAGCTATTTGTTGCTCTGTTACTGATAATATGGTGGAGGAACTAACAAGAGGAGACAAAGGAACAATTGATAAACTAATAATAATAGAATTAAAGTGAGGCTGTATTAATTAATGGGTGTGGTTGACCACACCTCTTCCCCTCCCTCCAGTCTCATGTAGTCCATATTTCTGGTATGGAGGATGAACCTTCAAGTACTTTTAATGATTTGATTACTTTAATGTCTAAACTAGGACTGGACTATACTGATAGTGAGGAGACTAATGGAGGAACTAGAACTGACTCAAGTGGAGGAGGAGGAGGTGAGACACTGGGGCTGGGATATTACTGTATAATTAGTAATTATTTTGTGTTAATGTTTCACTGTATAGCAGGTAATTTTAGTGGAGAGAAGTTTTGATAAACTGCTAAAAAATTTTTGTTGATTGGTGGGTCGAATATGTATCCATGTGCCATTGAGCATGTACATAATGGTACAAAATGATGTGTTTTAATTTGACAAATGGCTATTAGTTATATCAAAATACCAAATTTGCCAAAATTTATCTTCTCCAAAATTACCCACTATATGGTATTCTTATGATTTATTCTATAGAAGCCATACAGTACTGGATCATGGAGGGAGGACAAGAAAACACCAAAAATAGGTACAGTGTCTGATAATACAGTATAGCTTTAATTGAACAGTGTTTTAAGACTGATTTACAATATTACACTAGGTTAGTGTACTGTCAATTTTTAATTAAAACTGTGGGCAGTTTGACCTATTGACTCTTGCTTTATGTTAGAATTGAATTAAGTTTAACTGGCCAGTGTCAATCTAACTTCAGGACTAGCATAATATAATAAATCCATCTTTATTTGATAAACTGTAATTGAAATATTCTCCCAATAATTAAGCCCACCAATCATTATTGTACATGTTCATAGTATATGTATGACTACACAAAATTGTTAAATTAAAAATTATCAAATTAATTTTATAGAAAATTACTAAAATGAAGTGTTCCCAAATTAAAGTGTTGTACATTAAAATTAGACTGAAGCATGAAAATGTACTACCGCGTATAGCCTGAAAATTTGGCAGTCTAAAAATTTGGCGGTTTTGCATCAAATTGCCTAAATATAATATTGGCGGTCTCTTAATTTGGCGGTTAACTATCTTGTATTTTCTTTAAGCACTCTCAGCTCTTCTTGAAGCTGCCCCTTGGCTGTCCTTGCCCACAGTCTTGACTGAAATAGTGAGAAATATTCAGAAATACTGTCATTTTGGCATTTTTTAGTATCATGTGCTCATGATGGGATCCGCCCATCATTGTAATTATTATTGGCAGTTTTATTTTGAACCGCCAATCCGCCAAATTTTTTGGCTAAACACATGAGTATTGTTACCTTTACATGTTATTAATACTTCTCTCTCTCTCTCTGAGCATATGTTTTACATGTACATATCAATACATAAATAATTCATTAAGTGCCAAACCAAAACTCAGCCTTAATTAGTAATAACAGCTAATAAATAATAATTACCAAAAGCACGTCTTTTAAGTTTATTGTGCCAGGAGAAAAGAAACCAATACCTTCCAGTATGTAGTGGTAAGCCCAGTTGTTAGATAATAATCATAGGCCCTGTATATCTAGTGTCAGCACACATGTAACTGTACAAGCCATATTGGTAACAACAGCTTTTTAAGGCAGGCAGGGAGGCGAGAGTTTGGCCATTAAAAACGTTTTAACCCCCAGTTCTGGTTCTCAAAACCGGACTGCCTAGCCTGCTGTTCACCATGGCTCTCATGCTACCAACATACAGGTACATGTAAATACATGTATAAACTAGCCACTTATGTGAAATCATTAACTAGTATGTGCATGAATCACACAGTACATGTACATGTACATGCAAGTAAAGCCTAAAGCCGCCTCCCTTGTGGGATTGGGGGTTCCTTGTGGTTGGGGTAGTCTCTGAGGGGCTATAGGAGTGAAATACTAAGCTCTCACTAGTATGAGGCATATTCCTCAGTAACAACACTAGTGAAAACAAAATGGGAGTTTTACCCATGGAAACCCCTCTCTCTCTCTCTCCCTCTCTCTGTATCTACAGATCTCAGTAAACCTAGTCTTGATGCTAATTTTTTATATGAAGAGAGGGCAGCCATTAGAAGAGCTAAGAGGGAGAGGAGAAAAAAGAAAGAGAAGCACTGGCTGTCCCTAAATAATGAACATTCATTATTATTATTATTATTATTATTATTATTATGAAGAAACAAATGGAAGAATAGTAGTAGTAGTTATAAAATAATTTATAATGAGTTAAAATTTAAATTTATATGAAATAAGTTAAAATTATTATTATTAATAATAATATTATTATTACATTCATTGTGTGTGTGTTTTGTACTCTCTGTTTCAGACTCACTTCATTAATTATTAATTGGTTTATTTTGTTTTTTGTTATTTTTAGATCAAATCATTAATTAATAACATTTCCTAATAACTTGACAATGCTAGACTACTTTGATTATTGGTAGTGGTTTGTTTGGTTGTTCTTTTCTGTGTTTATCAATCAATGTCTTCTTTTGATCTTCAAGAGTATCCTCCATAAGAGGAGGAGGATTACATAATTCAGGTTCAATCTCAATATATTCAAGTGATGGATGGATGAAGATAGTTTCATATAAATGTTTTACTAGTTCTATCCAGTTAGGTTGAGATGACTCAAAATTAATAGATCCATACTCTATCCACAGTAGTCTGATGGTTGTATGTGACTGTAACATGTTAGTAACAGCAGGTAGTACCTGTTCATAAAACAATGGTGTCATTATTTGTTCAGATTCTTCCCAACTACAGTTACTGTATGACTGATCTAGTCTGAAGTTCACTTTAAGTTCTATGAGATTGTTCTTTTGAGAGATGACATTAATGACATTAATAAAAGTTCTTATGTCTTCATTCAGTGGAATGGATACACTCAAATGCTGTAGACTGGTGTTGTGTCTGAGACCAGTTGTTAGGAAGGACAGGAATGAACTGGGAATGAAAATGGAGTTATATACTGGCATATCTATACTAAGGTACATGTATTTCAGTGTTTGGTTTTGTGTCAGCATGTCTTGTAGACTAGTCCCCATACTGCTGGTATATACTATCTCCTCCTTAGTTACAATCTTCACTCTCAGAGCTTTAAGTGTAGTATTGGTTTGTAGAATAGTAAAT